TTGATTTCAGCAGAGCAAAAATGACTTTTATGTACTTTTTTCCTATAGGGATCAATAAACCCAATAATTTTTAAAACATAATTTATGTCACTGTTTGTTTTGTCTTAGGTAAAGCATATAAACAAATTCAAAAACAAACTAATAGATGAAAACAAGGTGTTGTTTATGAAACTCCTGGTAAATTCATATATGATCAACACAATTTATTTATAAAACAAATTGAGCCCTTGGCTACTCCACAATGAGGACATCAATCTTCATCTCTTCTTTAAGGGAAAGGAAATAATCAACATTTGTAAGCTTTTATATATGCTTAATTTTAATATCATACTGAGCCTCATGAAGTTTCTAGGGAATTAAAACATAGCATGGACATCCAGAGAAAGTAAGAATTCAGGTAAAAGTCAAATAAAATGGGTATAGTGAAGCAATAGTGAAAACAGTGACTTCAACAAATTCTCTTGATTTATTTATTATACACTTTCTTTAATCAAGTCCTGTATAACGATGTTATATGCTTGTTTTCCCTTCAACAAACATCTGTGGGTCACTAAGCTGGTATGAAAGTAATGATATACCTCATGCATTGGCATACTCCTTCTAACAGCCCTATTGGGTATTATTATTATTATTTCCATTTTCTAAATTGGGAAACAGGCATAGAGAGGCTGCAGAACTTATCTAAGATCACACCACTAATGAGTGGCCAAGCTGGGATTGAAATTCTGGCAGGTCTGGCCCAGAGCCTGTTCAGAGACCTCCATGGAGAGCCTCATGCTACTTGTGTTGCAGACATGCTGCTGGCCCTGTCCTGCCCATACCTCTGCAGGATCCCACCTCATCTAGGAAACAGGACCCAGTTATTTTGCCACCAAGTCTGGTTAGTGCAAAGGGATACCTCCTTCTGTTCTCTGTGCTGTTTAGAATGCAAGGGATCTTTACCCCAGAGGCAGTTTGCAGCAAGTACTTCAAGAGACTGTGAAATCAGCCCCCAAATGTTGGAAGGAGCCAGTCAAAGGAATGTTGCCTAAAGAGGGAAAAGGACTGGACCAGGCAAAGAGGAAAATTTGAGATCAGGAGTGAGGGAGACAAATGATAAGTTAAAGGAAATATAAAATAAATTTCTGTTCAGGATTATAATTAGATAATAATATAAGAATAAGGGTCATCTGGTGAAGCCACACAAATTTTTTGTGCATGACAGAAACTAGCTAACTCATTGATAAATTGTTTTCCCAGGGCCCCTAGACTGATATCTTCTAAAATTACCAAGGTAAGTTATAGACTTAATTTTGAAATTATTCAGACATGCTTTTAATGTGATTATAAAGGAAAAACCCAAGGTTATATTAAATATTTTTAATTTTCTTTTTATTCAGGGAGATTCTATTAGGAATATTAAAAAATCCTAAAAGAATCTACATCTCTAAATTTTTACCAATGCCAGTACTTTTGAGATGTTTCACATTCACATCCATGAACATGCTCAGCTACCTGAAATATTCCACTTTTTAGTAAGATACTTCTCTAGGTTTCCATCCAGTTCCTGTCCTTAACCCTCCACCAGATTATGCATTGCTGCCTCTTCCTCCTCACAATTGACCCTCTAACTTCATTATAACTGTTTTTCCAATTTTCCTTTCCAATACCTTCTCAATTATTCAATAAAGGGTTCCCTCTCAAAGGTACCAATTTCAACCACTTCTCTTATCCAACATCTTCTGCTGACTTAGTTCCAAATTTTAGAACTGCTGAACCCTCCACAAAACTTCAAACTCTCTCTTTTTAATTTCTTACCCTTGACATGTCCTACTTCCCTCCTAGCCTACTCTTCTATCCTCATGGGCTGTACACCCTCTAGGCTTCTAGTGGGTAGAACCCCATGCTATTCTCCAACACACTCACAGCTGTAGTATGAGGTCAATATTTAATGTTAGTTGAATTCTAAAAGTTATGTTGATCTATATAGTGTATAAGACTTAAAAATGTGCCATCTAAATGTTTCACTTGCAGGACTACAAAGAGTCAATAAAGGAAAAAGAAAAAAAATCAACATCATATAAAATATTCAAAAAAGAAATAGGTTAAGAAACATATAAATCCCAGATATATTGTCACAAAACACTGTTGAAGAGCAGTTGTTAGAAAAACATTACTACTACATTTTATTAAAATTAATAGTTTACAAATGAAGATTTAGTGGCTTAAAAGACAACAAAAAGATATAATCAACTAAAAACTACAAACAGAATTCTGATGTTGTACTTGAGAAATATTGTATTCCTATTGTGCTCACGAAAAAAATTTACACAAAGAATTAAAGAGAAAAAAGATCATTTGTTCAGATTACTTATGTCTTAATAAAAATAATGTTAGTAATATTAACATGTTTCTATGATGTTGGTTATTTTTCAAAGTATAGAGCAGTAGCTACTCACTATGGAAAACCAAGATATTACTGATTTGTCTAAAATTAAATGTTATCCTTAAAGACATTATATCTACAAGTAAAGTACACAGGACTTGCCACAAACTTTATACTTCATTGAAATAACCTTAATGATAGTAAATTTCTGGTCAAACACCTGTAGCCAAAATATAAGAGTCTTATTGACAGTGGTTCAATAAAAATTTTGTTTTAAATTCATAGACTTTTTTTCTAATTATTGTATCGTATTGCAAACTGCAATGAAAGGGAAAATTATTAGTATTTGCTCTCAAAAGATATGAATGTGTATATATACACACATCCACTCATACACATATGAATCTATGTATGTGCCTAAAAGCTGAATGTCATTTACCTCTGGAATAGAGAAGAAATGGTGATAGCCTTTAGTGTCACCATTATGTTTAGGTGACCACATTTGTAAGAATACTCATTTCTTAAAGTAATTTGAGTCTCATTCCAGTAGCTTATAAAGTAGAACAAATCACTAAGCATAGTTGGAAATGATTTGTAAATGTGTATAATGTATGTCAATAATACCTGTTATAGCTACTTCCTTTGATTAATATAGCATTTGAGTGAGAACAGTAGCAATAATGACAAATTATGCCTAATAGTGACCATAAAATTCTATGATATTCTTTAGTTTTTGACACTGTTATACTTGATAGAAAAGTAATATAAATTTTTCCGGATTATACATATTTATAAATGAAGTAAATTTGCATCAAATAGTGAGTGAACTTTACAATTCAAATAATTGCCTCCATAATTATCATGAAAAATACATAAGTTTAATTTATTCTTAAACCTATCTTCTGAAATGCAAGCATTCATAGGGTACAATTTCAATTTGAAGCATATTATTTTTAAAAAGCCTCATTTGAATATATTTTCATTTCAACTAGTATCTGACATGTCTCTCATAATTATCTTACAAACCAAATTAAGAAATGTGGGTGGGGAGGAGGTAGAGTTCAAGTGCATTGTACATGATTTGATTATCGTGTCACAAGAATATCAATGGTAGAAAAGAGGGGAGGCTACACTGATTCTACACAGGGTTGTCAGGCCTGTTCTGGTAAGAATTTATTAATGATGTAAATGAAGACATAAGGTGAGCACAGAGAGCTGGGAGCTATTTCACTGGAAAACAGGATGTAAATTTTTAAACAACAACAATATTACTACAAAATAACTCCCAAGCAATAAAATGGTATTAGGGACCAAAATCCAGAAGATGAAATATAAAAACATCAAGGATCAGTTCCTACTCTGTAATTCAAAAAGCAACTATACAATATAACAGAAAGAAGGAAGATCTGATGCCAGAAGTTTTCATTAAGGCAAAAGAGAGGGACATTTAGTTGACTACATGTAGTACCAATCAATGGTGTGATGACAGGAAAAGAAGCCCTGGCTCAATCTTAGATTGGAATAGAAAATAGTACTCTGCTTCTGGTACAGGGCCTGCTTGCCACAGTTTACTCTGCTCTAAATGAAGCCACATGTGTCCAGTCCCATTCCTGACACCTTCCAGCCAGTGAGTGTTTTCTGGAAAACAGTGTCAGACTGTAAGATAGTCATGAAGCCTCATGGCAAAAGAAAGAGTTAAGAGAATTGGGATTTTATTAGTTTAAAAAATAGTAAACCTTAATAAAATATAGTTATTAGCCCTCAAATATTTGAAGGACTCTGAAGTACTTAAGGAAACAGACTTTTTACAATAGGACAGAACAGGGAATAATAAATGAGAATGACTTAAGAATGGATTTGGGGTTAATATACTGGGACACTAAAAGAAAACATAGGATTCAGAATTAGAAGTCCAAGTTTAAACAAGTCATCTAAACCCCTAAGTCACAGAATCCTCATCTCTAAGGTTACAGAAGTCCTTAACCTTAGAATAGTACCAGTTCTATTTTGCACAGACTTTTCATAAGTAGTCAAATGAGAAATCCTATACAAATGTTTTGAAATTTCAAACTGATTTGAAAATGGTAGTAACAATAGTAAGCCACAAGAAAGCCAGCTGTAGCAACACAGCAGAGCTACCTTTTTCTGGTGAATGACAAGAATGGACTAGATAGAAGGTCATTGAAATACTTCCAATTGCACTTACAATGTATTCATGTACTCTTTTATTTCAGTTAAAGGCATAATGCTTTAAAGGAAAGCAACAAAGAGTTACTAGTATCAATAATTAAATTTGGCTAAACAATGTGGTTAATAGCCACAGTTTTTATAGAATTCATGAATGGGCTGGACTTCCACTATGACACTGATTAACTTAACAGAAATTATGACCAAAGTGCTCTAGATCAAATTATGGCTACTTCATTTTACCCAAATAATTACCTTTTTACATGTGGTGCTTTACTTTTTCTGAAGTAAAACCTCTGTCAAAATCTCTAATCTTAAATTTCAGCCTTTGGGTAGTTGATACTCTCTATATGACCATCTGCTTGCTATATTTTGTATTTCTTTTAGTATGCAGAAATAACTATCCCCTGAGCTAGCAATGCCTACCAGCTGTTCCAAGTGTACTTACCCTTTGACCTTCTTTTCCAGGTGGACCTTGGGGGCCTTGCATCCCTATGGAACCCTGTAAGGGAAAGAAGACACATGTTGATACAGATTTGAGCACACCTGTCTCACAAAGAATGTTGTGAAAATTAATACACATTTCATTCATCAAAACAAAGAAAGTTTTAAGTGATTTGAGCTCTTCTAAGGTTAAATTATGCAATGTATTAATAATGATGAATTGCCTCTCACTGACTGGTTTATCTTTGTAGCTAACTCCAGAAAAGAATAAAAGGAAGTTCCAAACCAGGCCTGAGACGGAACATTCACTCCCAGTTAAAACATCCCATACAATTGGAACTACATTTCACCAAACAACCATAAATACAAGGTAACAGTATCTGCAAGCTGGAAGAAAAAAATACCTCTTTATATATATAAACTTCATAAATAAAACATTTTTGGTGGTGGATAGTAGCTTTGTATCTTTTAAGAAAACACATGACTATGACATTTGTTTCAAACATGTCTATTTATAATATTTAACTTTTAGTATCATAGATATTTAATGTTTTCTCATAATATTGTCAAGTGATAGGAAAAATCATCTTTTTCTAGATCATAAAAAAGTCCCAGGAAATCCAAGGTGTTGGAAGTCAAATCTCTTGATTTTTAGATATTTACATTATACAGGAATCCCTACTCAATCTGAAACTCAAAATAATATTACAGTTTTTTAAATCTCCAAAAGTTATTAATGATTCTTAGTCTTTTCTTCTGCTTCCTCCTTTTGTTGACCTGCAAGTGTAATTTACATTTGGGTGATTTTAGGCTCATTTTCTTCTCAGTTCACATGTTCTCGCCATGATCTCATATGCTTGTGGGCTTCAGATTCTGTAGATCAGGAACCATTATTTTTACATTTATAGCCTCAGTTTGTCTCTGGGCTACATATAAATCCAAAGTGCAGTTGCCTGCTTGACAGATCCACTTGGCTATCTCACAGGCATCTGAAATTTAGCACATTGAACACTGAACTCAGGACCCTCCCTCCAAAGCTGAACTGTAATTCCACCATTCCCCACCTCACTAAATCCATATGACACCCTCCTAGCTCTTTCCTCCTAGATATTTAGAACTCATAGTCTATGCTCTTCTCTCTCAAACTTCCCCTTACATCTAGTTACCATGTCTGGTTGATTTTTATCTCCAAAGTATATTTGGATCCATTTCTCTCCATTCCTACTGTTTCCTCGTCACTTTTGCTTATCTGAAGAACTTTCTAACAATCTCTACATTACAGCCAAACTGGTGGTAAGGAAATAATGCTTCACCTTCCCTGATTCTCCACATGAGTTGCCTATTCCAGGCTTAAAGTGTCTTGTACTTGTCTTAAAGTGTCTATCACAAATTCATTTAAATGATTGTTCATGTCATGATTTGTTTCTCTCACCAGATCTAAGCCACAATAGGTAGAAACTGTGTCTTTATACATGATGGTATGAGCTTGTTAATGGTTGAATGAAAACCATCCATACTGGGAAATCAGTGCATGCTAATGGAAGTTTTTGGCTGAAGACCTCAAAGGATCTCAAAATACTTATAATGAAAACTATTATGGTACTTATTCAAAGAAACTGAATTCACCCTAATTCCAGAAAAAGTATTCTCTTGTTACCTATTTAAAAAAATAAACAATTGTTTCTTTTCTTTTCGTATCCTTGGGGTTAAAATCAGGGCCTTACACATTAAATAGCACTAGCTCTACCAATGAGTTACACCTCCAGTCCCCTAGGATTCACTTTTAAAGTCATGACTATGTTTAAACTAAAATACCAGATGTATTTGTGGTGACCCATAACTATTTATTATGTACCTATTCATTTTTTAATTATTTCATAAAGACTAAATGTCATACATGCATAATTTTATCATCTAATTTTATTTTAAATAGAAAAAGTGATAGACATTTAAAAATTTTTCATTTATAGAGCTATCATTTGATTAAAATCATCAGAATTCAATATAAATTATTATAACTAATGTTCAAAAAGCATTAGTACAAAAAATTACACATCACCAATTCTCAATGTTCCCCCAAATCTTTCTGACTCTTCTCTATGGTAGACGAATGAAATTAAAGTATTTATCACTTCCACTTCTTTTATCTGTTTTTGAAACAATTTAATGTTATAGAAGCACATGAAGCCTTTATTTGATTGACTTAGGCAGTAATTAAAAACCAAGAGATGAAAAGGTAATCAGTTTCGTCTGCAGTTAAAAAAAAAAATCACCTGCTGAAAGATATGTATCCAAGGAGAGTTGGCTGATTAGGCCAACTTAGGATGGTAAATTCCTAATGTTTCTAAGAAGAAACAATGTTAAAATCTTAACACACCAAATATTAATTACAATATAATTACAAAGAGTTGTGTCAGTTTTTATAAGACTGACACAATCTTGGCTCTAGATTAAACTCTTCCCTCTTACCCTTGGGAAAACTGTTATCATTTCGTGAATAACCAAACTAATATATAACATCTTTGATGTTCATCCAAATGCTCACAGCTCTTTCAGTGTTTTTAAACATGAGTTACTAAAGCATCCACACAGCAAATGTCATCAAGGGAGTATACTTAATTCTGAGAAATATAATTGAAATCTATTCCCTTTAGTAGTTGGGATAATTATATAGCAAAAGTCTATACAATATGAGAATATCAAATTTTATTTGGAATATATTAAACAGATTAAAATATTTATTCTCCTATATTTTTGTGTGCAAAGTCTAAGGAGTAAAATATGGTACCAAATCACATCCACAAATCACTAGCCTGACTCCTGAAGGTTCACATCTCTGAATCTCCTTTCACCTTTGCTAGGTCAATGACCCAGCCAGCAGTATGATGAAAAATCAGTTAAATTCTTTTTAATCTCTAACATATCATTTACTATTTGAATTATCCATGATACATTGTTTCCATGATGTATTTTTAAATCTAGCTATGTTACCATGATGTTGATAATATTATCCAACTGTCTTTATTAAACATCAGTTTATATTTACAAATAAAAATGATTTTGTATTAACATTACTAAAAGTTTAATCAACTATACCAAAATAATATTTTTCCCAGACTAAGAAATTATAATTTGGGGATAATTCATTAATTTTACTATTTTCTTATCACTATGAAAACTACAGAAATAACCTAAGCTCCAGGTAAGCTGTAGCTTAGGATAAGTGAGGAGGGCTTAGAAGAACCCTTTTCGCTCTTTTTTTTTTTTTTCCTACTCTGGCTTTATAAATGTCATTGTGTGTGTGCTCTACTCCTCTTTTTAGTTGCCCATAAGTTCTCGAGGACAGAAGCTCTTCTTCATTCTATCATCTACCTCATTTATAGAAGAGGATCAATAAACATTGAGTAGATTAGGCCATAGAGGAAAAAAAACACTGGACTAGAGAGAGCAATACTGGGTATAGGTGCTAGGGAATAAGGCTCTGCTCTCTATATAATTATTCTTATTCCCATAACCTGGACTTCAAGTCCTATCTGTCATCCTCATTCTAACTATTCCATTCTCTGATATCTAGGATTGCCTTTTGTTTATTTAAGAATGAATCATTTATCAACTATAACTTCCTCTCTATTATGAAACTTATTGAGATCTTTGACCATTACCTAAAATTTTATAGAATTTTTCCAGAGAGTCATATTCTTAAATATCTTAGTAATATAGCACATTTGTATAATCTGTGCATTTTCTCTTCCACTTACTGTGTCCAAAGAATACCTAATCCATTTTTCTATGTTTTCCATCTATCTAGTCTACTCTAAAAATAACTATAAATTGGGCTACTTCTTAAATTTTACAAACATGCAATCTGTCACCTTTATGAAAGAGATGTTTGAGAGCATATTTAGTATTTTCATGATGTAAGCATCTCCATATTTCTTTTTTTGTTGTTGTTGTTTAATTTTTCTTTTTGTAGATGGACACAATATCTTTGTTTTATTTGTTTCTTTTTGTATGTGGTGGTGAGGATTGAACCCAGTGCCTCACACATGTGAGTCGAGCACTCAACCACTGAGCTACAACCCCAGCCCAGCATCTGCATATTTCTATAAAGGCATTCATTGATTTTTTCCCACAGTGGAATTCTGGATATTAAAAATGTTAAAGAATAGACTGCATAAAGCTGTTACTTCTTTTGTCTAGGATAAAAACATGAAAAAAAAAGTCTAGCCAAACCCTTTTAATTTCCAATGGATAGCTATTATAATGTGTTGCATTTCACATAACTCCCTCTGGACAATCTGCTGATTATTTAAGACAAACTAGGGCTTATCATCATGGAAGCCCATGTAAATATTTAACTGAGAAATTACTTAGAATTAACTGGTTCAGAATAGAATTTTGAAGTGTTTAACAAATATAGCAGATGTTTAGTAGAACTAATAGGGTAGATTAATTGCACTCAAACACATTTTCATTTGTGAGAAGAGGCAAGATATATTCATAACTTCTCAATTAAGGAAAGGGACTGAAGAAAAACTAGGAGTTTTGTTTTAAAGTATTACTTGCATCTACATGTCAGGAATGTTGCAGTACATATGATACCTAATGCCCACTTCAACAGAAATGTTATGTGAGTAAGTTGAGTTTAAGTATTATGATTATTACTTTAGAATATGCTTCACAGACTTGAAACATAAGATAAAGCAGAATCTGGATAAATTCTTAAAATACTAGGGGATTTTCTATTTTTCAAATATAATGTACAAAATTAAAATGGAAACAGAGTTTGTCTGTCTTTATAAAAATAGTCCTGCCTTTTATGTGAGAACAGAAAGAACAAATTTAAAGCTGGGAGCATCAGAATAAAATTTTGTTTTATATGTATACTTGGTCCTTTGGAAATAAATTATTCATTTTCAGGAAATACGTTTTATAAAGGTGAAGCAAATAAGTAAAACTACAATAGACATATGGCTCTTGTGCGAAGAGAGAAGTTATTTTCATTACAGTTTTGAGAAGTATAGTTCAAAGATATTTATGTCAATAAGTTAAAGGAAT